AAGACATAGAAACAATCTAAATGTCCATTGACAGATGTCTGGATAAAGAAGATGTGTTATATTTATACAATGGAATATTACTCATCTGTAAAAAAGAATGAAATAGGGCCATTTGCAGCACTATGGATAGACCTAGAGATTATCATACTAAGTGAAGTAAGTCAGACAGAGAAAAACAAATATCATGTGATATCACATATATGTGGATTCTAAAAAAAATTATACAAATGAATTGATTTACAAAACAGAAAGAGACTCACAGACATAGAAAACAAATTTATGGTTACCAAAGGGGAAAGGGGATGAAAGAGGGATAAATGAGGAGTTTGAGATTTGCAGATACACACTACTGTACATAAAATAGATAAACAACAAGGACCTGCTGTATAGCTCAGGGAACTACATTCAATATCTTGTAATAACCTGTAATGAAAAAGAACATATGTATAACTGAATCACTATGCTGTACACCAAGAACTAACACAACATTGTAAATCAACTATACTTCAATTTAAAAAAAAGAGCGCAGCCTCAGAACCACTGAAACAGATTCAAATCCTGCAATTTTCTTCCCAGATGACCTTGGGCAGCTAACCTTTCTTAGCCTCAGTTTCTTCATGTGTAAAATGGAGCTGGTGAGAGTCATGAGAGTCACAAGTGTAAAGGCTTCTTGGGGTAGTTATGTGGTTTGGATGAGAGAACACTTATAAAGTGCTTAGAGCAGCCCCTGACACAGAGTAGGTCCTCAAGAAATGTGCACTGCCATCACCTGTGTTAGGGGAGAGGGAGGACGTGAGATCAGAAACTGGCCCAGACAACGCACCCGGCTAACGAGGAGCAGAGTGGGAATTCCAAGCCCGTCCACCTGCTCCAAAGCCTGGACACGTGCGCATGTCTTCCCCTACCCCTCAGGAATGATCTGAGCCTTCCAGATGGAAATGTGAATAACATTTCCCCAAGCTTTGTCCCCACAGGCTGTCACTTAGCAATAATTGTTGATGGTTGTACAGGAATTTGCAAACATCTTAAATTCTAACCACTTCCCTTGGAGCCTTGGTCTAAGGGAGGAAAGGGGCACTCTTGTCTCGGGGTAACCAAGGAAGAAGGCTTTTATTTAAAAAAAATTTAACTGCATATTTGAAATAATTTCTGACTTACAGAAAAGGGGCGAGAAGAGTCCCTTGGACCCTCCACCCTGATTCATCAGTTGTTAAAATCCTGTTTCCTCTGTCATGCTCTCTCATTCTCTCTCTCTCCCCCACCCCATACTCTCTCTCTAAATCTACGTATTTATTTGGGGGACTGCTTGAAAGTAAGTTGCTGATCTTATGCACATGCCTCAGATGCAAGTCTCCCCAGAGAGCCGGCTGCTCAAGGGTGCTGAGGAGCATTCAGATTTCACAGCCTGTCTGCCTGGACCCTGACATTTGAGGCGTTCATGTCTCTCTCAAGAGGAAAATGAACATTGACACACAAGGTTGATCTGGTTTCTCAGAGAGCAAGGTTGGGGTCCTCAGTGCACCTCCTGAGTGAGTTCGATGACTCTCCAAGCCTGAGCATCCAAGATGGGGGAGACACAGGGGCCCACACTCACCTCTGACAAAGTGACTACACTGGCTGCTGCATGAGGATAATGCGGTCACACAGCCAAATGGAGCAGGGGCTCCAATCAGTGGATTTATTTTGTAAAAGGGACTCACACCAGGTGTGAGAAGGGAGCCCAGTTCTGCAAAGACCACCATCTCCTTTCTGGGACATTCAGGGATGGAATCCATCCCCAGAGAGAAGGGAGGAGCAGGAATGTTTCAGAGAGCCTCCGGCCTAGAAAAATCTTGCTATTTGCTTCAGAAAATAGTCAGAAATGGTTGTCACCGAGGTTGCTGATAAGTTCTCTGCCCAAGGGTGTGGACTGGCCCCTGTACAGTAAATGGCAGTGCTGGTCATGGACACCCTGGTGATTTTTAGGATGACCACACAACAGAAGGAGAACAAAATGCCCACTGATTGCATAAATATGATTTTTTATTGAGCTGTAATTGACATACAGTATTAGTTTCAAGTGTGCAAATGTGATGTATTGACATTATAGCAATCAGACCAGGCTGATGCGTGGAGTTGACTGTTGGAGGCATTGCCAAGTGAAATGTCTGCATGATCGGCCAGATTTCTCCACTCTCCCACGTTAAATTTCCCCAGCTCCATCCATAAAATATTTTACTGCTGTGATCGGGTCAGGGCTGAGGAGGGGGTTGGGATTGATGATAGCTGTGGAAATTTTGTGGTGGAAATTCTTAGTAATTTGAGACTCAGGGAACTGCCAAGAGTTGACTGCTTTTTACACACAGAAGTGGCAGTTTCATATGTTTCCTTCTAATATTTGCATATACATGTTTTAAATGAAATTCTTTCTTTTAATCCCTCAAAATAACTTGAGATATTCATTGTATGCCCATTTCCAGGTGGGAAAACTGAGGCTCAGAGAGGATAGTGAAGCAGCAGGGTGAAGAGTCATAGGCTAGTTGTTTTGTTTGTGGTAATGAGATTCAAGTCTCTTCATTCCCCCCTTAATAGAGGCATTGGGGTTTGAACCCAGGACTTCATGCACGCCAAGCACACGCCAAGTATGTGCTCTACCACTGAGATATACGCTCCATTCCTCGAGTCTCTTTTGAACAGACTCAAAAAACTGCTGTTTGTCCCCCACGGGAACATATTTTGTCATGACATTTGCTGAACAATATGTTGGAATTGGCTTCTAGTTCATAAGAGAGTGATTCACAAGCTTTTTTGGTCTCAGGACCTCTTTAGACTCAAAAATACTGAGAACTCCAAAGAGCCCTCTTTATGTGGGCTCTGGTTGTGGGTATTTGCTATATTTGAAAGGAAAGCAGAGATATCCCAAATATTTATGTGTTAATTCATTAAAAATGACGATAGACTCACTATGGAGTAAAACAGGAATAAAATTTTTTTCTTAAACATAGCTATACTTTCCAACCCATGTGCAGAGTGAGATGTGTGTTATTGTTTCCCATGTTTACAATTGTAATATGTGGATTCACAGTACTGGGTCTTCACATCAGCTTCTGCATTCAATCAGCTGTGATGTCACACTGTACATGCGTGAGAGAATGAGAATGGAAAACACAAATAATTCCTTAGTATGATTAGGAAAATAGTGTGGCCTTGGAGACTCCCCAGAAGAAGTTTAATCCTGTCACTTGTTTTCCAGATGGACGATTCTTCCGACACAAATTTTACAAAGAATATCCAGGTAAGAGAGGCATTCCTTCCTTGCAGAGGGTACTCAAAAGGGCCATGGGCATTTCTGGGGTGAAGAAGAGAAAGAAAACCCCATGGACTGTTAAGAGAGCCACAGTTTGAAGTTGCTGTGAAGGAAAATGAGTGTGTTCTCCCTGGTGGCTTTTACACTGTCAGACGGCACTTTAGGGGTGAGGTGGTGGGATGCCAAGATGCTTCTGTTGTGAAAATTTCTCCTCTGCCTGAGCAGTCCTCCAGGTGGCATCTGATGTGGGCAGGAGCCATTCTAGGCTGCAGGCTGGGACTGAGGCTGCAGCTTAGGGGTGTCTTATAGGGGACAAAGTAGGAACTAGGATTGGGAAATAAAACAGAAGCCCTGTTGTCTGTTGGTGGGCAAAAGAAGGGCTTACAGCAAACATAGCTTCACGCTAAACATCAGAACCTGGGACTAGACATGCAAAAGTTCCTCCTACTTTCATTCAAAAAATTGGAAAATATGGCTGACACCATTCTTTCATCCTATCATCTATCCAATTATCCACTGATCCATCCATGCATCCACCCATCCAGTCTTCCATCCATCCATCCACCCATCCAGTCTTCCTTCCATCCATCCAACTTTCATCCATCCATCCATCCCTTCATCCATCCATTCAGCCATCCATCCATCCATCCATCCTTCCATCTGTCCATCCACCCATCCATCTATCCACCCATCTATCCATCCATCCAGTCTTCCATCCATCCATCCATTGTTCCATTCATCCACTATATCTTTTTTAAGAATTGACAATACGTATTTATCAAACATTGCTTTTCATCTTGTGCTGGAGATTGAGGCTACATTTGTGACATGGCAGACCTAGTCGCTGTCATCATGCAGCTAATATCAAGCAGAAAATTAAAACATAAATAAGGCCCAAGTGGTTATTTCCTGATAACAGTGATCAGGACCACTGAAGTCACATACAGGATGCTCTGAAAAGGACACCTTAGACTAGGCTGTCAAGGAAGGCTCTCTGAGGAGGGGACATCGAAGCCCAGTTTAAATAAGAAATAGTGGATGGAGGAACAGCAGGTGTGAAAATCCTGGGGTTGAAGCAACTTGGCCATCACAGCAGCCAGGGTGAGTGGTGAGCAAGGCAGGAGACAGCTGGAGATGAGGCCAGATGAGGCCAGGGACCATGGGGAGGAGAGGGGGGATGCTGGAGTGGGGACTGGCTGACCTCATTTGGGGGACAAAAGGGGGCAGGGCCAGAGGGCTGGGCCAGGCTGAGGTGTTTGGTCTTAGTTTGGCTGGTGAGCCGTGAGCATTTGAGCAGGAATGGGCACCCCTGCCCTGACAGAGCCCAGTTCTTTTCACAGAGGGCGCCTTCAAGAATGTGGCAGAACCTGGGAAAGGACAACAGAGGCACTTCCCATAAAGTGATGGCAGCAGGTGAGTGGGAGGCCTGATGAGTCAGGGCAGGAGTGGGGCTTTACCTGTGGGTAGGATTTTCAAATTCCTGTATAATTGTAAAGTGAAATTATGTGAGAGCTCTGAGTGTGATCAGAAGGGGAAGTTTCTACAACCTGTGGCCCTAAATCCTAAGGCTAGACTAAGTTGCAACTTATTTTCCATCCCTTTGCCTTAATGGTTCCATGAACAGGCAGACACTTCCTCTCTGTCCCATGAAGGCGGGCCCTCTGCCTCCCTCCTTCTGTCACACGATCCTGTCAGGGGCCAACTCTGATGGGCAGGAACCAGGTGCTAAGTGGTGATGGTGGAAATACCCAGCAGGCAAGCCCACATGGTGCTGGGGGGGGACACCATGGATATATCAGGGCTCCTCTTCTCAGGGTTTATTTCCTAGGAGGAGACTAAACCAGTCAATCAGCAAATCAGTAAGAAAGGCAAAGATTGCAGTGGCGGGAAGGAAGCCAGACAGACAGGCCATGTGATGCAGCGTAGCTGGGTGGTGGGGGAGCTGCTTCAGAGGGGGGTCAGGAAGGCCGCTGGAAGCAGGTGACATCTGAGCCAAGATTTGACACGGTGCTCAGGCAGAAGGAGTGGGAAGGCAAAGGTCCTGAGGCAGGAAAGATCTTGGCTTCAAGGAACCACTGGGGCAGGAACAGAATGATGGTGGGGGAGGCCGGTGCCAGAGGTGAGATGCAAAGGACCAGGGTACAACTGAACACCCACCCAGTAAACGAAAGCCCTTGACAGCAGGCGACTTCCCCCAAATGTCCTTGCAAGGCATACCCCAGGTTTTAGATTCCAGAATATTCAGGTGTGAGTCCTCCTGGAAAATCTAGAGCTGTGGGGATTGATGTCTATTACCTGCTGATGACAGGAACAGTCCTTAGAAGGGGTCTGACCCACCTGAACCTTAAATGGGGAAGTGCTGGGGCCACTGGGGAGAGCAGGACGGAGGGAGACAATTGAGGATGGCTCTCAGGAGCCAGCTGGCCAGAACTGGGTTTAAATTCCTGCTCCACTACTGGGTGACCTTAGGCAAATGACTTCAGTCCTCCAAGCCTCAGTTTCCGCACCTATAGAATGGGAGTGATGAGGAGGGATGTATTAGGATCTAAGGAAGATGATACCTATAGAAGAGGGAGATCCAGACAGTGGAGCTCACGTCTCCCCACGAACACATCAAAGATAAATCTACAGGTGGAGCCACTCTCACCAAAAACAAACTGGAGACTAGCAAAAAGACTCTCGTACAACCGAGGCTGTAAGAAAGACCCACAGGAACCTGGTAGGAAGGGCAGAGGCAGATAGTACCCAGAGAGACTGAACAGCGAGTTAAGAATTTAATCTCAGAGTAAACTGGCATCTTTCTGGTGTTTCTGGTGGGTGAGAAGGATGTGGATGACATGCATTTGTGACCCCACGTTCTGCCGAAGCAGAGGTTCATATCCATTCCTTCTTTGCTTCCCTTTCAGCCAGTGCACAAGAACATTCCTCCACTTTCTGCTAAGCCTTGGAAACAGTTGGGTAAAAAAATGTTTTTCAACCCCTAGAGGTCATGCCCAGCTCAACAGAGCATGACCCCAGAGATGCTTGGAGACAGGACACCTGGCTCTCAACCCCCGTGGGGCCCTGCCTGGCTGGGTGACTTTGTGGGAGCCACTCACCAGCGCCTGGTCCCTGTTTTATGATCCTGGAAAGGAGGCACACCAAGCAGTCCCCTTGACCTTGTAGCTCCCTGGATCGTCCGTGGGAAGAAGTCACTGCCTTTGTGAGCTGTGTGAAGCCCATTTTTAAGACAGAGTTCCATGTCTTGCTTGGTACTGGTTTCTTCCAGGTTTGACTCCAGGAGGCACGTACCCATCCCACGTGTTCTCAAGATAAGTTTGCTCATCATAAAATGGAAATGAACTTACCTACTCATGCTTGATTCATAGTTTTAACCACCTGGTGATCTTAAATTGGATGTGCTGAAGCCATTGAATCCTAGGGGTGGGAGGGTGGGGAGAGGGGTGTTACTGGGATGAGGTGTCAGCTCAGTTCTGCCCAGAGAGTCCAGGGTTTAAGAAGCAGAGCTGAGGGCCTGCTTGCCTCTTCCCAAGTGGAAGCATGAGGAGGCCTTGCCTGGGATCAGAAGATAATGTTGGTTCTGTGCTACATCTCCTGAAAGGGAGTCCCCTGCCTCCCCCTTTACACCATTCTTACACATACATCAAAAAGAAAATATAAATGAAATACATGGGATAAGGTCTTTCCCACAAGATCATCACATTTGGATCCAACCCTTCTGAATCACTTTTCCACTGAGAGTGGCCAGTATCCGAGTTTTTCTGTCAACGTGGCCTCTGAATCTCTGAAATTCTGATGATGCAGAATTTCCCGGAAGGCAGTTCCTCGGTTTTTCCTGGAAGTTTCCACCAAGATGCTGACACCCAATGTGCATGTTTCGATGTGCCCATGTGCAGACAATGATGCCTGCTGCTTGGTGGTCACCACTAGGACACCTCCCAGCTTCAGGGACGTGGAAAGGTGAAAAAAAAAAGTGCATTTTGGATTTGCCAAGGAAAAGGTGATTAGTGCTTGGTAAATATTACTTAATAGGAGGAATGTATGAATGAGTGAATGAGAACATGATGAGTGAGTGGGAAATGTAATTAATTACCCTGAACCTAAGGGAAATGCACCAATGAAACTTATTGATAGATGAAGTAAAACAAATTAGAGTCTCAGTATTTAGGCTTAACCAGAGGTTTTCAGCTGGGGGCCGATGCACCTCCAGGAGACTGCTGTGCCAAAGTAATAATGATAAGGAATTATAACCATACCCGCTGAACACTCACTGTACATCATCTCACATAATCCTCCCTGGCAACTCAAAGGCAGTTACTCTTATCACACCCATTTCACAGAGGGAGAAACTGAGGCGCAGAGGGGCTAAGTACCTTGCCCAGGATCAGAAACTAGGTTGACCAGCCAGCCTCTCCTCTCTCCACCCCATCCAGTCCCATCTAGTGGGAAGTCCCCCAGAAGCTGGGATGAGCTCAGGCCCTGTCCCCAGGGCACTCTGCTGGTCTTCACACCAACAGTGTCTCCTCCTGGGCCTCAGTGGCTGGAGGGAATGTGCTTTGACAGGTCAGAACTAGCAGACAGTAAAGAGAGAGGCACCCAGATTTCTCCCTGCAGGCACCTGTGGGCTGCTGCCTGAAATTCCACCATCAGAGCGTCATCTGTTGATAGCTTCGAGGCCTGCTGGAGTGTGGATTCCTCTGGAAGAAGCTGGAGGGGGAGACACCGGTGTGTGGGTGTGTGGGTGTGTGGGTGATCACAAGCCTGGTGGGCAAGTGCTAGGATAAAGTTTATGTCAGCTCCAGGCATCTGTGCCAGGTGAGAAGTCAGGAAGGGCTTCCCAGAGGAGGGCATGTCTGAGCTAAGTTCCTGAGTACAAGTTTTCTGTCACTGTACAAATTACCATCGATGACAGAAATGTATCCTCTCATAGCTCTGGAGACCAGAGGGCCACATCAGGGTGTCAGCAGAGCTGGCTCCTTCCTGAGGCTCTGAGGGACAATCTATTCCATGCCCCTCTCCCACCTTCTGGCCGTGGCCGGTAATCCATGCCGTTCCTCCACAGACACATCACTCCAATCTGTGCCTCCATCATCCCGTGGCCTTCCCTTCCACGTCTCTGTGTCCCAAATTTCCCTGTGTGTTCACTTATAAGGACACTTATCATTGGATTTAGGATGCACCCTAAATCCAGGATCATCTCTTCTCAAGATTCTTAAGTACATTGGCAAAGACTGCATTTCCAAATAAGGTCGCATTCACAGGTTCTGGGGTCCTGGGGGTTAAGATGTGGACACAACTTACAGGGGGAAAAGTCGGCTAACTTAGATTGGGGAAGAAGAGGAAAGACATTCCAGGCAGAGGGAACAGTATGTGCAGAGGCACAGTTGGACATGGCTGGAGGAAGGGGAACTCTGGAAGTGGGAGGATACAGGGTAGGTTAAGTAGGTGCTCGCCAGTTCACATCTTGAGTTTGAAAATTGACCGTGAAAATTACAGGAAACCACTAAAGGGTTTTCCTGGGCTATTATCTCATTTGCTTCTCCCTACATCTCTGAGAGGCCAGTCTGATGATCCCCATTTACAGATGAAAACACTGAGGCTTAGAGTGGTGATGTATGCCCAAGAGCAGACCATCAGGAAAACGGCAGATGCAGGATTTGAACTCAAGCCTCATCTAACTCCATGATTGGGAACTTAAATGCTGCAGGGATTTAAAGGCTACTAGGGAAGGAGAAAAGCAACAGAAGCGCGATCAGATCCCAACCTCACCGCTCCGCCTGAGAACAGTTTTCTAAGGCGGGGCCTGTGGGTTGCCATGTTGGTACTCTGAGATCAGTCTCCTTGGCCACAGCTGATTGGTAGAGAGCCTGGTCACCTGACTCAAGCTAAGCCAATCAGGTTCCAAAGAACACGCCCTTGCGTCTTCCTGACGCTGGAAGGTAGCATGGCGGCGACCAGGAGGCTGGCTAAGGAGCCTCCTCGCTCAACAGTGTGGCTTTAGGAAACTTCTTGAACCTCTCCGAGCGTCGGTTTCCTTCTCTGGAAGTCGGAAGGATGAAAACAGCACTTTCCTGCGTGGCTGTTGCAGGATTATGTGAAACTCTGGTGAAGTTTTTGCCCAAGACCTGGCACACAGCAAATGCTGGGCAAACCTCAGCTGGCTCGGCTGGTGGTGGATAGAGGGGTGGGACTTGGAGCTATGCGGAGGCCACCTCCTGCCTTGTTCCGGAGGAAGGGGGACAGGGAGAAGGAGCCGGAGAGAGGAGGAGAAGTCACTGGGTCTTGACAGCTTTCCAGGACTTGCTTCCAACTGATAGTAGACTTGGCTGCCCTCCCTGTACTGAGGTTCAAGGAAACGGCTCCGTGGTCCTCACTCGCTGGCCGCCCCTGACTTTGCCCCAGGCTAGCACACGAAGGGGGTTTTGTTATTTGCAATCAGAACCAAACCCAACCCAAACAATACAGAACGCCACCCCCAAAATGCCTTGATTGAGACAGTTTGGCAAGCTGAAGTCCCCATGGAATCCACTGGAACCACCTTTGAACTGGATGCCAGGGTTTTCCTGCCTCAGACCCGGTGACCACATGAAGAAGCTCCCAGCAGGTCCAAGCTACAGTGTGAGGTAGCTACCGAGACTCCTAAGCGGCCATCCTGCCTGTGACTGCCCAGAGGCCTCAAGTCTGGGGAACACATGCACGGCCTCCCCGCCCCACATTCCGTGCCCACGCCTCCTGCTCTGACGCCTCCTGCTCCCAGATGGGCAGGCTTCTGGAAAGTTCCACACAACTCAGGAACTTGTTGAACAGGTGGGATGAGTCCTTGCCCATTAGGCGTTACCCTGGCCAGACCGGGGATGGAGAAGGTGTGAGAACAGAGTAAATTGGGGGAATTAAAATCTCACAGGTTATGTGCCAAAGTGTGTGCTAACGTCTAACATCCACTGTGGCCTCAACAACCCAGTTGGAAAGATACCATCACCTATGTTGACAGGAGAAAGAATTGAGGCTTAGATAGTGCAAGTTTCTAACCCAAGGTCACCCAGTTACTGAGTCGTAGGGGACAGTTTTTTTCCCCACCTGAAATCAAGTCTTATTATGAACACTTTCAAATATAAACAAGGCATAGAAAGTGGTAGAATGAACCTCTCTGGACTGATCAGCTAGCTGCCATTGTCCCATCAATACCCTCAAGTTTTGCAAGAGGAGAGTCTGCAATATTTTAAAGTAATCCCCTGACATCATATACATCACCTGGGAGCGCTTCAGCATGCATCTCTAACAGATGAGGATTTGGGGGAACATAGCCTTAAGGTCATTATTATCACAGGATTACCTGGATGGGAAAGTTCAAGTCGGAAGTGCCACACTATGTGCCCTGGGAGGGAGCACAGCCCCAGGCAAGTCCTGTTCTTCCAGGACAAGAACAGGCAAGGTTACTAGAGTAGCAGTTCCCAAAGTGGGATCCTCAGACCAGCAGCAGCCAGCATCAGCATCACCGGGAACTCAGAGATGAC